GACCTCTAGGGTTCCTGTAGGACACAAAATGGAATTTCTGAGATCAGTGGGACCATAAGAAAACAGAATGAGAAGTGCCAACTAGGATACATGTTCAGCGCCTGCTCAGGGGTGGGAGGTGGCCACCGTGATTGAGATGCCACCTAGGACTGACGCATGCCACTTCAGAATGCCTGGGGTCCAGTGCTGGCTTCCTGCTAACGTGCACCCTGGGAGGCAGCAGAGGATGGCTCACGTGGCTGGCATCAGTGCCACCCACCTAGGAGAGACCACGCTGAATCTCAGCCTCCTCGCGCAGGCCTGGCTCAGCCCTGGCATATGTGGGCATTTAGAGAGTGGACCAGCAGGTGGAAGGCATCTCTTGTCACATAAAATCAGAGTAACTGAAGGACAGTTTTAAAGGAGTGAGTTTTCTTCTTATTTTTTTTAATGCCACCATCCCGTGAGGCTCTAGTCAGCTGCATTTCTTCCTCATTTTGGAGGTGATGGTCAGGGGCACACAAGGCACACTCTTGAATCAGTGCACTTGGCCTCCACGGGAGCTCCCAGTTTGTCTCAGAGGCCAGCTGGCCACGTAGGCCATGGCACTATCTGCTGTGGCTGTCATTTCTCCACTTGGAGTTGTACACCCCCCGGTACCACATCAGCCTTGCCCCCTTCTGACCTGGAGCTGTCGTTTCCGCTACCTCTGATCCCACCTGCCTAACCTCTCAGGGAAGGCCCTTCCAGGAGACCCTGCCCCTTCCCGGCCCTGGCCTGGGGCTGCCCCTGCCTGCACCAGTTCTAACCAGCCAGCGTGGCATCCTGGTGTTCCAGGATGGTCCCCGGTCTGGTCTCGTTTCTATCCAACTAGTCTCTACTGCCCTCCTGTGGCTCAGGCTGGACTAGCACTTCCTTTGGATGTTAGAGCCACTTCTCCCATGTGGCCCCAGCCGACAGTGGACCGCTGTGGACTCGAATATAGATAGCTGTTACACACATCCTGGGGCACATCACCCGTATCTCCCCTCCACATCCCTTTTCAATGATGATGACAGGGGGATGGTGACGCGTAGTACAAGTTAGGCTGCTGTTACCGATGTGGGCATCCCATATAGACACTGGCTAGACTTTAATGCAGCTCCTGCGAAAGCACCTGGAAGAGCAGTGGAAGGTGGCTCAAACACACAGGTCCCTGCTCCCAAGTGGGACAGACAGACAGAATTCCGAGTCCCTAGCTCAGCCCAGCCCATTGCAGCCATCTAAAGAGTGAACTCGTGAATAAAAGATCTCTCCTGCTTTAATCCAGTCTTTTAAATGAGCAAAAGAAATCTTTCAGAATATAAATTGCAGCTGAGAAAAGCCAGGAGTCACGCGAAAGTCATACCGAGGAGGGCAGGATCGGGAACATCGCAGTTCTCACCGGGTTTCCGGGGCGTGGCGGGTGCTGCCCCATTCTCCCTGTTTGCTTTCAGCCTGCACGCCTAGAGGATGGTCACAGTTTGGGTGGAGCCAGCTTTTCCGCCGTGCTCTCTACCTACCCAACACAACTCGTCTCTCAGAGGACCGAGCCACGGCCCAAACCTCAGGCAGCGCAAGCACTGAGGGCAGGTGGTCATGTGACCCTACAATCCCGTGACATCGACGGACCTCTTCCGCCTCCAAGGATATAACCAAAGGAAGTCATGTGACCCGGGTGAAGCCAGGAAGACTGTCCCTTTAGGTACTGAGACCTGGGACATTACAAGACAAAAAGTAGGGGCCTGCACTGTGGCATAGTGGATTAAGCTGCTACCTGTGCTACAGGCGCCCCCTAGGGACACTGGCTCAAGTCTCTGCTGCTCCACTGCTGATCACGCTCCCTGCTGATGTGCCTGGGAAAGCAGAGGAAGAGGGCTCAAATGTTTAGGCCCCTCCACCCCCATGGGAGACCCAGATGAAGCTCCTGGTTTCAGCCTGACCCAACTCTGGCTGTTGGAGAGCGAACCAACAGATGAAAGCTCTCTCTCCTCCCTCAGTTTCTTTCTCCTCCTCCTCTCTCTAACTCTGCCTCCCAAAGAATTAAAATATTAAAAAAAAAAAAAGGAAGGGACTGGCATAGTGGCACAGCAAATTAAACCACTTATGTGATGCCAGCATCCCAGGACCACAGGGCCAGTGTAAGTCCTGGCTGTTCTGTTTCATTCGCAGCTCCCTGCTGATACGCCTGGGAAAGCAGCAGCAGATGACACAAATGCTTGGGATTCTGTCCCCCAAGTGGCAGATCCAGCAGAGTCCCTGGCTCTGGCCCGACCTAGCCCCACCTGCTCTAGACATTTGGGGATGATCCAACAGATGGAAGATACTTCTCTCTGACATACTACCTTTCAAATAAATAAAACAAATCTTAAAAAAAAAATAAGGCAAAAGGAAGCAGACAGCAGAAATATAAGCTGGGTTCTGCGGAGACAGGGCTTGGGCTGCTGGCCTAGCTGGTCAGTTACATGAGGAGGGGAAGGGCGTTGAGTCATAGTGTAGTGCTCAGGGGGACCCCGAGACTGTGGACTGTAGGCTGCCCGGTTTGAATCGTAACTCCAATTTATGTGCTGTAGACACAGGGGCAAACTGCTTAACCTCTAGGTCATCAACAGCTTAACCTTTAGGATTCTGTTTTCCTATCTGCAAAACAGGGAAGTGAACAGGACTGAACAAGTCACTTTTAAAATGACAGGAGTTCACAACCACGGGGAACAGGCACACAACACATGGCTAGACATGTTCAGCTGGCACATTGCAGACAGCCCTGCCACCCCCGAGATCAACGGCGGGGCAGCTCCCAGGGAAACCCCAGACACCAGAGCGCCCACAGGGACACCAGCGCTTTCTATCACAACCGCCAGCGGGTTTACGCAGAGGCCAAGGGAAGCCTTTCCTACTGCCTTTGATCTCATTAAGTTTCCACTTAAAAATCATACACCACATTGGTTTGGAAATTTTATTCTTTTTATTGCAAATTTCTGGGAAAGGAAAAAACAGGGAAGCGGATTCTCATTTAAGCTTTGGTGAGATTTCTGGAGCGTGGCGGGTCCCCATCTGAGCTGCTCATGGGGTCACCTGGGCGGGCCTCCCTCGACCTTCTGCGAGACCCTGATTCCACAGGTCCCACCACAGCTCAGCATCTAATTGCCCCAGGCAAATCCAACAAGTAGCCAAGTGGAGCCCTCTGGTGGTAGCTCACGGTAGCTCACGGCAGGGGCCTGGTAAGGTCAGAAGCACCTGAGAAACCCAGCCCACAGCCAAGCATCCCCTGCTTTGCATCAGGCCCTGTCGCCTGTGTGCCTCTGCCCGGGTGTGCTGATCCTTCCGCCTCGGAGACCTCAGAGCAAGACGCCGGAGGGGCGTGGCCCACTGCGCTGAGCCTGTGCATACACGGGGAGAACTACAAGACACGTGGTTCACGCTACCACAAAAAGCAATTCACTTTCAGACAGCCAAACAGCCTCAGCTTCTGTTTGTCTGTTTGTTTAATCTAAGTAGCCTCACTATATGGAGATGAAAAGCTCTGGAATGAAATAAGGAAAACATGTTGGATGCCATATTCCTTACATAACCTTGCATGTCCCAATTTAAAAAACAAAATTTTTCTTATTTATCAAGCGATGGATGGTAAAATATTGTGCACTTCAGCAGCATATTTTGTATGGGTAAACAGTAATTGCCAGTTCTATATTCTATTTATGATTTATCCTAAAAATAGAAAATGTTTTTTTTTTCCTGAGTCCTTGGCAAACAAGCAAATTTTTTTAAAAAGTCTTTTGAAATTTTTAAATATTCCTATTCTTTGTCCTAGGGTAACCTCTCAATTTAACACAGTGCACCTTGCTATGGGTTATTACACACACAGATGAACACGCAGCTCTGTCGCCAATTTTCAAGACTAAGCAGATATAGAGACTGAAAATAAAACACCCGTTATCTACAAAGTGGTGCAAGATGAAAATCTGTTGACAGTGTTATAAATGCAGTATCAATTTGAGTCTTAATCCCATACAAAAGTAGGAATTTCTATTCCATTAATACCGAACATGTCTTAACAGTGATAAAATCTGAAGAACATTTAAAAAAATACATAGGATCCCATTTTTACATCATAGTTCTGATGCATTATCATGCTGCTTATTTTGTCTGCAAAGCTCTTGTAGGGTGCAGTGCACTGACATGACAAAACCAAGGCACAAGGGTACAGTTCTAACAGGTGGATAGAAACCTAGCACTTGGTGCCAATTTGGGAAACATTTAGAAAGACCTTCAAGCCAAAAAATTCGTACATTCTGATTGATGAATAAGAAATTGTGCAATTCATCACTAATTGTATGGCTATCACTATATAGGCTGTGGATAATTCAAAAATAGTTTTAAATATTAAAACCTGATCTGTGGTCCGATGTTGTGCCTTGCTTTATCTAAGCGTCTTAAGTTTCTGTTGAATTTGCAAGTATTATGGCAATTATCAATTTTAAACTATTTTCATTATATAAATGATAGAGTTTCTTCCCCAAGAGTTAAATCTCTTCCCCTTACAAAAGACAAAAAAGAGATACAGAAAGATAATCAATATAAGACACGCACATACAAGAGTGAAACCGAAACACGGACTCCAAGTTGAATTGGACTCCCTTGGCACGTTCTCTTCATTTAGGGTGAGGAGTGACACACACCTGTGACCACTCATTCATTTCTTAATTTAAAAAAAAAAAAGCATCATCAGGACATTAAAAAAAAAAAACAACAGCAACTGGTCTTGGCTAGAATGTGGAGCATCAGAGAAAAACGGTGAAGTCTTTTCATTCATAAAACGAAGGAGACAAAAGCCTTTTTGTTTTTCACCTGGGGGAAGAGGGTGGCACTGCATTTAGAGAGGTGGGATAAAGTGGCAGACCATGTATTTAACGTTTCAAGAGAGATTCGTTTCAAGACCGGGGTTGGCGGGGAAGGAAACATTTAGACCCATGAAAACACATTTCTTGGCGCATGCACGCCCTGGGTGAACAGTGCTGAATGTAGCAACGGCCTGGCCACAGAGGTCTCTTGCTCCTAGCCCCGCTGGCAGACATCACCCACCCCCCGCCCCGCCCCCAGGTCCTTGTCCCTGCTCCTTCACACGGGAGCTTCCGGCTTCTGCATCTGCTGGATTTGCTTCTGGAGCTGGTCCTTGTCCAGCTTCATCTTGGTCTCGAGAACTTGCCTGAGGGATCCTATGCTTTCATAGATGGCTGTAAACCCTTTAGGGAGAGGCAAATTTCACAAGTGTTAATTAAAAAAAAAAAATGCCATAGGAGATTCCATAGCTTCAAGTCAATGTTGGCACAAATGATCAACAGATGCTAAAAAGTGTGATGGGAAATGACAGAGTTCAGTAATTCCACAGGATTCTACTGACAAGGGAGTGAGGGGAACTATTCCAATGATGGAACCTAGCAGATGCCACACTAACCATAGCTAATGGGGGAAGGCAACAGCATGCACCTGCTGATAAAGACCCCCTAGAAGGACGGGTCATCTGTTCTATGGCACTTCTACCCAAAGTGTGCAACCTGGATTATGTCCAAAACAACCAAACTAATCTACAAAAAGGTCAAGGTCTGACCAGTGTTTCAGCATAGCAAGTTAAGCTGCAATCTACAGTGCCAGCATCCCGTACAGCTGCCAGTTCAAGAGCTGGATGCCCCACTTCTAATCCAGCTTCTTGCTAATGCCCCTGGGAAAGCAGGTGAAGATGGCCCAAGTGTCTGGGCCCCGTCGGCCACACTGGAGACCCAGATGGAGTTCCAGACTCTAGCTTCAGCCTTGGCCAGTGTGGCTCTTCAGGGAGTGAGCCAGGAACTGGAAGATTCCTCTCTCTCTTTCTTTCCCTACCCAAATTTGCCTTTCAAATAAGTCAATAAATAAATCTTTTTTTAAAAAAAAAAGGCAGGGTCACTAAAACTTGGCATCTAATACACAATGAAATATTACATAGGGAAACATGATAACTAAAGACGCTGTCTGATTCGGGATTACAGCCCGAAGCACTCGGAAAAGTGCTCTGTATCTTTGATCCTAGAGGCAAGGCAAGTCACGTGGGCCGTGAGCTCTGACCCCAGACCCCACCTGTCAGGATGGCTGGTGGGATGAGAAGAACAGGAAGCCCCGGCACACTTCCGGCAGAGCTGTGGAAAGGAAGACCCACTGCAAACCAGCAGGGAGGATCCTAAGGACATCCAAACTAGAACTACCCCGTCATCCAGCCAGCCCGCTGCTAAGGTCTACACCCAGCTGATGTTGGAATCACCCGTGTCCTAGAACCGTTATCTGCACTGCCACGTTCACTAGAACATTATTCACAGGGGCCAAGCATGGAGCCAAGCCATGGGCATCACTGCAGGAATGACGTCACCAACACAGAGACAGCCACCGAGAAGTCCAACTACAGACCCATTCTGCAGCACACAAGATGTTCAGCCTGATGGAAGAAGATCCTGTCACTTGACCACAGCCAGGATAAATCCACAACACACTGTGCTAACTGGAATAAGCCAGACATGGAAAGAAAAACTCCGCGATCTCATTTGTGGAATTTTAAAAAAAGTTGAATATATAGAGATAGAAAATAAAATGGATGTTACCAAGGTCCATGATAGGGAGAATGGGAAGCTATTTAGCCATATTTCCAAAATGCCAATGACTGCACGAATTATTAAAATTTCATGAACTAAAATAAATCATGAATTTTTGGACCATTCCTACCACTTCTCTAAATTTAAAAAAGTTTCCTGGTTTCTAAAAATAGTCTCATCTTCATTACTAAATTTTAGAGTTTTTCCTCTCAGAATATTTCCATTATGGAACCATTCTTCAAAAAAAAATGGTATAAAATGATTCATTAAAAATAATGTTTTTGGGACAGCCATGCAGCACAGCACTGACGAAGCCACTTGGGACACTCGCATCCCATACCGGGACATCTGGCTTGGAGTCCTGCCCTGCTCCCATACCGGAGCATCCTGGGAGGCAGCAGGTGACAGGTGCTTGAGTCCCAACCACTCAGAGGGGAGACCTGCACTGAGTTCTGGAATTCTGTTCTTGACTGGCCTCTGCCCTGGCTACTGCAGACACGCAAGGAGTGAATCAGCACATAACAGGTTTCTGTCTCTCTCTCCCTTTCAAATCAAACAAACTCTGAAAAAAAATGTTTTGCCAATGTGAAAAGATAGCACATATTATTATTATTAAAAATTAACAGGTCATAAGTCAGCACATATGGCATGTGCTTTCCCTTGAAAAAGTACATAAATGTCCTGTTTGTATAGAAACAAATATACAATGACCTCTGGGAAAGAGAAGAAAAATTTTACTTTGAAAAGTAAATTTCCGAACATTTACTTTAAACTTTTTGTAATTGATAATTCACTGGGAAATGTATTTTCGTTGTATTAAAAGACACATTTGTAAAAATGAGTTTTATTTTCATTTGAAGGCAGAGTTAGAGAAGAGAGAGATCCTCCCTCAGCGGGTTTGCTCCCCAATGGCCACAATGGCCATGTTTCCCACGTGGGTGCAGGAGCCCCCAAACTTGGGCCATCCTCTGCTGCTTTTCCAGGCCACAGCCAGGGAGCTGAATTGAGGTAGAACAACTGGGACATGAACTGGCGTCTATATGAGATGCCAGAACCAGACGCAGAAACTTAATCTACTATGCCGTGGCACCGGCCACAATAAAAGTCACTTTTAATTTTACAAAATAAATTTACATGTCTTATTAGAAATTAAATATTAACCATTTCAGTGGTATGTTGAATCACTAATGAGAAATTTACATAGGAAATGTTACAAGCATCACTGAAGTAGTCAAATGTCATATTTGATAACCCCACAAAACACCAGAAGGAAAATTCATTTTTGTAAGTTCCCCAATTCTTAAGTTTAATTACAGTTCCTACTTTTTTTTTAAAAAAAAAATCAACTTTCAGTAGTAACAAAAAAATTATTCTTGAGATTTAAATAGCTACTTTTCTTTCCATGTGGCCAAAATAGAACAGCTCCACAAAGGGAAACTCATGGAGTCCCAGGATAAGGAGGAGCTGGCAGATAACGCAGTCCCTCTTCTCACATGACACGCTGGTCTTCCTGATGTCACTCAGCCAGCCTGCACTTGCCGACTCCAGGTCCAAAGAGCTCCCAAGCTCACGCACACACCAGTGTGGTTCAGAACCCATTGGCAGACAGACACGCTGGCCCCGCAGCAAGCTCCATCTGTCTGCGGGTAACTTCCCCTTCTTGGTGTCAGCTCTGCGTTCCTGCTCTTGGAGCCTAAATACAATCCCTTCTTTCACCCCGGCCATTCAGAACTGGAGGTCAGCTCTCCTACGCTCCTCTGAGTGAGTAAATGAATGACCCTGCTGAAGTCCAAGTAGATGGAAATCATTCATTGCCAGGATGGCACCCAAACAGGATCATGTAACTCCTCTAAAAGCCCCTCAGAGACTACGTGTGCCCGTGAAACAGCGTGGCATGGGCCCTGACCTGCTCTGCCACACAGCAGGGGTCTGGCCTAGTGGTTTAGATTCCCATGTTGCACTCGGCAGTACCCATGTTCAGTTCCCAGCTCTTGATCAAGCTCCAGGCTATCATGGGCCCCGGGGGAAGGTGGCCATAGCTCAAGTACATAAGATATTGCTGGAAGACCCAGCCCAGTCCTAGTCTCCGTGTGTATCTGATCAGAACCCTCTCAGTATATCTTTCTGACACTCTCTGTATGCCTCTTTACCTTTCAAATATGCTTTTAAAATATTTATTGTTTTACTTGAAAGAGTTGTCGAGAGGATGAGAGGAAGAGACAGAGAAAGAGAGAGCTTCCATATCCTGGTTCACTCCCCCAAATGGCCACAATGGTTGGAGCTCAGCCAATCCGAAGCCAGGAGCCAGTAGCTTCTTCCAGGCCTCCCATGTGGGTTCAAGGGCCCAAGCCTTAGGCTATCCTATACTGCTTTCCCAGGCCATAAACAGGGAGCTGGATCTGAAGTGGAACAGCCAGGACTAGAAACAGCGCCCATGGGGGATGCCAGCACCACAGGTAGAGGATTAGCCTGTATGCCACCATGTCAGTCCCTCAAATGATTTTAAAAATTATTAAAAATTTTAAAAAGATTGGCACTAAGGAAAATGTGCAGCAAATGCAAGTTAAGAAATCTTAGTTTGTTTCCCCGTCCCTCTAGGTGGCTCTTCAACGTACCTAAATTTAAAAAAAAGAAAGTGGATTCACTAGAGCACAGCTACTTCGAAAACCAACTAAGGAGATTTCCCTGTTACTACCATTAGCCAGGTTTGTAGGAAGTAGTGGGGAGATAGCAATTAATAGGTCCAGGAACCAAATAGAAAAGATGCCACATGAGTGTTTTGTTTGGAGCCTACCAGCATGAACTTCCGCCTTCATTTCCTTCATGTCCTCACTCATCTGCATCTCCAGCTTGTTGATTCGCCCATGCACCTTCTCCTCTTCCTGCTTTGTTCTCTGCCCATCCAGAGTCTTCTTCTGGCTCTCTTCTATTCTGTCTAGCCTGGCTGACATCTGGCTGAGCTTCTTCTCCATGTCCTTCTCGCTGGCTCCCTGGGATCCAGGAAGAGAATTGCACCAGGTTACTTCAAAGAGAACACGTGTTGCGTGTGTCTGAGCTCTGACATCACCGAGCCACAACCTACAGGGAGCGCAATCACACGGCAGCTGCCATGGCCCATCCCCACGCCCCCTCTTCCTTTCTTCTCTCACACAGCTCCAGCTCTCCGCTTAGTCTGAAGTCACCCAGAATAAAGGACACTTTGCCACCGTCTCCAGAGTCTGATGTGGCCGAGTGACTAAATTCTTGCCAATGAGATGTGAGGGTGAACTTGTGGCAGCTTTAAACAAAAGCCAAGAGACAGATGAGAAATATGCTTTCTCCTTCCTATTTTGCCTTTAGGTCCTAAAATTTAGACCCAGTGGCTGGTGCTCTAGCAGCTACCTTAAATGAGGAAGTTGAGGGTACCTCTTTAGATTGGCAAAAAAAAAAAAAAGTCAAACAAAAAGCATCCCAGGTCATTGAGGCCTGAAAAGACATCACATTAGTTCTGCATTACCTACCCTCTGCCTTCCTCCATGTGAAACTTGTCTTCTTAAACCCACCACTATCCTAGGGCTTGCTATTAACTACTAAGCCCATCTACATGTACAAATAGAGTGGACACAGAGACCCCAAAGCCTGCAAGTGAATTAACATGAATCAAAGTCGATCAGTCAGTAAGTATGATGAAAATATGGGAAAATACTAAAAGAAAACAGCGGGAACATTAAACATGTTCTCTCCCATGGCTGGTTTGCATGAGATCTGCGTCAACAGGCAAGCTTTGGAGTCTCCTGACAGCTATCAACGCCAGTTCTACAATTCAGCAGCTTTGCACCTGGAGAGAACAGTCAGAAATGCAAAATAAATAAAGAAAGAAAGGTTAAAGTCCCACAGGAAGAAGCAGTGCAGGAAAAGAGAAAGGGGAAGGAAACGGTCATGCTAACTAACCCAAACCAGTAAAAATCTGCTTGCCACTTTGCATACCGTATAGGGAAGGCATTCTTTATGCGGCTGTTGAGCAGTTCTGCACACCGAGGCTCTGGGAGAGACAGGCAGGGTGGGGCGGGGGGAGGAAAAAGGCAGAGTGGACAGAACGTGGTGGATTGGGCTTGCAGGTGCCGTGTGACACCGCCCTCTATGGTTATCCTGCAGTGGAGGGGTCTTGGGGAGAGATCTGGTTAACACTGGTGAGAAGCAAGACTGCAGCATGAAGCCAGAGGAAACTGGGACCAAGCCGGTTATTATCAGCTTTGAGATAGGCAGGTATACAATGTAAAGTCATCTTAACAGAAAGCACTGAATTTGCCACTTGGCCTTTGTAAACCAAAAACAAACCAGAATGCTCTATCTCTTTAAAAAGAATATAAAACGTCAGAGAGGATTCTAACACAGGAAACCACCAAATGGTTTAAGTGATGCCAAATAGGTCATTGGTAAGTCACCAGGCATTGGTCAAACAGTGGAGGCTTCAACTGGATAACATTACTCAACTATTACTAAATCTCAATACCTACACTGGTTTCTTTCACAACCAAGGAAAGCTGGTCAATTTTCTGCAAAAGCTCTTTTTCTATTCGTTCTTGTTCCTGTTGCAACCAACTCCGTGCAGACAAAATCTGATTACTGAGTTCCTCAACTGTACCTTTAAATCTGGAAGAGAAAATTAGCAAATTATACACAAAATACTTTTTAAATGACATGAAACAATCAGACTCTTTAGGTATCAGATTCCTCCTCTGTTTTTTCTTTTCCACTGACACATGATAAAATGCCCATAAAGTGCAATGATTATCGGGTTCCTGATTACACACCAACTCCACCTGAACCGCACTGGGCACGAGGTTGGGAAGGAGGGACAGTTGGACGGATACACCGATGACACCTCCCACCTTGGGGAGCTGGCACGATGGTCCTTGAGATCACACAGGGTGACAGCTGCTCAGGTGCTCATCTTTGCAGTGCCCGGAGTCCACGGTGTTCCCACCTAGGGATCTGCTCTTCCAGGCTCCCCCGCCTCCCTCAACTCTTCCTCCTTTTCCTCTTATCTCCCGGCACTGCAGCCTGGCTCCCTTTATCTCAACAGACTGGACCCAGCAGTGCAGCCTTGTGGGTATGATGCCCGCATCCGCTCTCAGTGCCTGCTCTTGATTGCTGGCTCTCGGTCCCAATGCCAACTTTGTCAATATGGGTCCTACGAGACAGAAGCAGCTGGGTCCTTGTCACCCACATAGGCGACCTGGATAGAGTTCTGAGCTCCCAACGTTAGCCTGGCCCAGCCTCAAGTTTGGCAGGTATTTGGGGGAGTGAACCAGCAGGTGGGAGTTCTTTTTGTCTCTTTCTCTGCGCCTCTGCCTCTCAAATAATGATAAAGAATGATCCACAAATTTCTCTTGACTCATTATGGATAGTTCCTAACTTAAATCAAAAGGAAAAAAAAATTTTTAAGAACTCTTCTAAATATTTCACAAGTTGTTTAACATGACTATTCCATAATTCTGCTTCCCTTAATTACTTAAAATTGTTTTAATGTGGGGCCTAGCAGGGAAGCCTAGCGGCTAAAGTCCTCACCTTGCACACACTGGGATCCCATATGGGTACTGGTTTGTATCCCAGCAGCCCCACTTCCCATCCAACACCCTACGTGTGGTCTGAGAAAGCGGTTGGAGACGGCCCAAAGCCTTGGGAACCTGCACCCATGTGGGAGACCAGGAAGAGGCTCCAGGCTCCTGGCTTCAGATTGGCTCAAAACCATGGTAGCTTGGGGAGTGAATCAAGGGATGGAAGAGCTTCCTCTCTGTGTCTCCTCTTCTCCGTATATCTGACTTTGCAATAAAAATAGATGAATCTTTTTAAAAAATTGTTTTATTATGATGTGTATAAAAGTTATGAACAACCTAACACAGATGGTGTGACTTTAATAGTAAGACCATAAACATTCCTTATGATGGAGCTATGAACTGCCTTTTGCTGTCTCCTCTCTTCTGTCTTGCTGAGAAGCCCTCAGATCAAGCAGGTGCACCGTCACCTAGTCAGACATATTTCCCTGCCTCCCTGGCTGCTAAGTGCAGCCACACAATTAGTAGGACAATGAGAAATGCATGGATGTGACAAAGGCAACACATTTATACACAAGCTTCTGCCCTCACCACTCTCACTGACCCAAGGGCAAGGTCTAGAATAACCCAGAAAACAGTGAGCCATCAGTCAGAGCTGTGTCACCTACTTAGGACTCCTGACCCTAGCACCATTATGTGGGAGCCGCAGCACCGAAGCTAGTCAGTACCCTAACTGATCCAGCCAGATTAACATATAGAATATTACTAGTCCCCTAGCAGCCCCAAGTTTACTCCCCAGTCACCCCACCTCATTCCCAAGAAATAGCCGGAATGCACTATTTCTTTTAATTTTACCCCATTTGGTTTGAGTTCCAAAACAACCTAGTTTTCAGTGTTGTGTGTTTTTAAATGTTACATAAATGGAACAGCAGTCCAAAGTGAGTTTTCTCCGGCTGCTTTTATCACTGAACATGATGTCCATGAAAGTCACCTATTCTGGTGTGTATAACTGGCTAATTCACCTTCAATTCTGAGTCACTGTATCAGTACACCATCATTTACCCATTCTTGTGTTGGTGCCAATTTGTATCTGTCTGAGGTTAGCATCCTTGTTATTTGAAACAACACTGTTATGAAAATACTGCCATATGCAAGCGTGTCTTGCTCACAGATGAAGGAGAGTCTATTGGATATGAGAACACACGACTGAACCAAAAACTACCAGACTATTTGCCAAGGTGGTTGCACACTTCACCCTGTCGTCAGTTGTGTAAACACCCCCCATTCCCTGAATCTTTGCCAACACTTGTGCAAGACTGATATGAATTTTTGCCCAGTGCAATTTTTTTTTAAGATTTATTCTTATTGGAAAGTCAGATCTACAGAGAGGAGGAGAGACAGAGAGGAAGATCTTCCCTCTGATGATTCACTCCCCAAGTGACTGTACCGGCCGGTGCTGCGACAATCTGAAGCCAGGATCCAGGAACTTCCCCAGGTCTCCCACGTGGGTGCAGGGTCCCAAAGCCTTGGTCCGTCCTCGACTGCTTTCCCGCCACAAGCAGGGAGCTGGATGGGAAGTGGGACTGCTGGGATTAGAACTGGCGCCCGAATGGGATCCCAGCGTATTCAAGACAAGGACTTTAGCTGCTTTCACACTTTTTTTTTTTGGTAATAGAAATCATACTATTCACACTTAACTGATCTATCTAAAGTGATTCAATACCCTTTTGCCCTCCAAAGACTACTAGTTAGTTTCACAAACCTCCGTCCTAATTTACTTGTTGTTTTTGGCCCATATTTCGGTTTTACGATGTCTTTGTACTCTACAGTTTAGACTCTCCTATAGTTTAGATCTGTCCAAGGTTCACTGTATTCTTTACTGAGCTCAGAGCTTGCTCTTGCATTATTTCCCTCTTCCCTGAAATCTATTAAAAATACCTGTGGTGAAGGTTTTCTAGTAAACTGACAGTTCTTACTTGTGTAAATGTCTTCGTTTTGCTCCTGGGTCAATGATGACTCTGCCTCAGCCTCTGAAGGTGTTACACAGCTCTGGGGCAGTGGTACAGCAAAGCACTAGCACTGGGACGCCGGCATCCCGTATCAAGTTACAGCCACACACTTTGGGAAGATCTCGGGATGGCTCAATTAGTTTGGACACTGTTACTCACGCTGGAGAGTTCCAGGCTCCTGGTCCTGGCCTGGCTCAGCTCCAGCTGCTGTAAGCATTTGGAAAGTGAACCAGGGAATGGAAGAGCTCTCTCTCTCTCTTTCAAATAAATGAAAAAAAAATTTTTTTAAATCCTTAAACTATCTTCTTTTGGCAGCCCTAATACTACTGAGAAATTAACAATCTTCTGTCTATACTGGAAAAGCTTCGATGTCTGATATTCTGCAGTTTAACTCTGATGTCACTAAATGTATTTTATTGCTTACTCTGTTAGAATACATGGGGTGTTGTCTCTCATCAATCCCATATGCATCATTATCTCCTCATATTGCTTCCCTCCCATTCCCTCTATTAGCTCCTTATTGAGTTCTGATTAGCATGGGTTAGGCTTTCTTACTCTCACCTCTCATATTTGTTTTCTATTTTTATTATCAAAAATTGCCTCAATTATAATAATAATTCATTCATTATCTCACAATTGTTTAAGTCAGAAATTGAGGTTCAGCCGTGATCAGGGTCTTACAAAGCCAGAATCAGGGCGTCAGCTCAGTTGCATCTTCACTGGGGGCTCTGGGGGCATAATCCACCTTCCCACCTCTGTTCCCACTTGCTGGCAGCATAACCCACAGCCCAATGACCCTGCTGACCACGGGCATTTCTGTGCTGCTTGCAGCAAGCTGAACGCTACATCCACATCCTCACTTCTAGAACATCTGAATGTGATTGTGTTTGGGGAAAGCATCTTTGCAGCCATCATAGTTAGGATCTCAAGAAGAAATCATGTTGCTGGAGGATTTGGGCAAACTCTCAATAAAACGACGGCAGTCCTTAGGCAAGACCACAAGACCACAGGGAGAAGAGGAGATAGATGCCTGGGGCCACCAGGAGCTGGAGGAAGCCAGGAAAGACCTCCCCCAGAGCTTGTCAGACAAAAACTCCTTCAGGGCATTAACACCAGACCTCTGGTCTCCAAACATGTGAGACTACATTTCTGTTATCCTAAGCCACCCATTTGGTAAGCAACCCTAGAAAACCAGCAGGCCGTGGCAGGGCCGAGATCCTTGCGAGGCTTGGCTCATGGTTTCAAAGCCAGCAAGTACAGCTCTAGTCCTTCTTATACTTTCAATCTCTCTTCTTTTTTATTTCAAGATTTATTTTATTTTTATTGGAAAGTCAGATATACAGAGAGGAGGAGAGACAGAGAGGAAGATCTTCAATCTGATGATTCACTCCCCAAGCAACAGCAATGGCCGGAGCTGAACCGACCCAAAGCCAGGAGCCAGGAGCTCTTCTGGGTCTCCCACATGGGTGCAGGGTCCCAAGGCTTTGGGTTGTCCTCAACTGCTTTCCCAGGCCACAGGCAGGGAGCTGGATGGGAAGTGGGGCTGCTGGGATTAGAACCGGCGCCCATATGGGATCCTGGTGCATTCAAAGCAAGGACTTTAGTTGCTAGGCCACCGCGCTGGGCTCCCCCCCTTTCTAAATTTATTTTAGGACACCATTTAACAGGTACTAGAGTGCCTCCTCTTCCCCACGTTCCCTCCCCTCCCCATTGTTCTCCCCTCCAGTCTTACAAAAGCTCTCTTTCATGTACTCCCCGAAGTCCACCATACGGCCACTGAGGTGTCTCCCTGATCCCTCCTCTCAGTCATCCCTCCGACCTCAGCTGGGAACAACTCCACTGTAAGAAGCACGCATGACCCGACGGGCCCCAGCTGACTATCCCTCCACTCCCCATCTCAAGGTCTAGAACTGTAATCATCTCTGCAAAGTCCACACAGCACATGTTCCAGAAATCAGAGTGCAGATGCCTTTTGGTCCTGGACAGGGAGCATTAATGTGCCTCTCGAAACTTCTGCAACCCACATCTTTCTTTCCCATCCTATGACTGTCTCCTGTAGTAAACTGGGCTAACTTCTTCAGGTCTCTCTCCCAATTCACTAATCCTCTCTTCAGCTGCATATGATCTGTTGTTTAACACCTCTCTGTCTCTCCCTCTCACACACACACACACACACATCCATGGCTCTTGCTTTCCATTATATTTTGCTTTCAGTTATCCTTTGAAAGCCTGTGTTGGTACACATGTGCACACACGTGCACACTTCTGGTATCTGATAATGCTTACACTTAGAGCAGACTTTTAACATCTGATTCTGCTATTTGCTGCTTCTTTTGACTGGTGCTTATATAGCTTTTTTCCTGGTGTGTTCGGTGAGAGTTAACTGTGTATTCTTTGAACGTTCTCGGTGGGAGGATGGGAAGACTGAGGACTGAATCAGCTCTCCCGTGCACATCAGGCAACCACAGAGCAGCATGATCCTAAGATAAATTAACCATGTGAGTTTTTATTCCAGACCACGTGGATAAAGTGAAATCTAGCTCTACATCAGTGTAAGGACTAGATTGTGTCCTTTTTTGACATTTGTTTTATGTATTTTAAAGGCAGATTTAAAGAGAAAGAGAGATCTCCCCTCTACTGGTCCACTCCCTAAATGTCTGGAGCAGCCTAGACTGGGCCAGGCTAAAGCCAGGAACCAGGAACGCAACTTCTTAGATAGAGATCTTCTATCCACTCATTCACCCCTCAAATGGCCAAAACAGCAGGAGCTTTACAAAATCAGGAGGCTGGAACTTCTTCCAGGTCTCCCACCTGGGTGCAATGGGCCACTGTCCACTGCTTGTCCAGGCGCATCAGATGTGGGGCAGCCAGGACTCGGACCAATGCTCTCATGGGAGGCTGGTGCTCTCACACGGCCTTCACTCTTGACGGTGCCCCCTGTTGCCTCCCTCTAGAAAGACTCTAATAATCACATCAAGCTTACTTGGAAAACCTAGAATAACTTATGCATCACAAAATCTTTAATTCCATCACACCTACAAGGTCTCCCTTGCCATATACAATGATACATGAACAGATTCCAGAGATCAGGATGTGGAGATGGTTAGGGGACCGTGACTCAGCTGACTACAGCCAAGTATTTTTCCATCAAAATGCACTCACCACCATTAATAATAACAATATAGGAGACTTCAGAAAGTTTACAACAAATGGAATTAAAAAGTCAGTGTGCTAGGGCCAGTACTTTGGCATAGTAGGTTAAACCACACCCGCAGTGCTAGCATTCAATTTGGAATCCCAGGTGCTCCATTTATGATCCAGCTCCCTGCCTGGGAAAGTAGTTGAAGATGCCTGGGAAAGTAGTTGAAGATGGCCAATGTTCTTGGGCCTCTGTGGGAAATCCAGAAGAAGCTCGTGGCTCCTGGTTTTGGATCAGTCTAGCTCCAGTCATTGTGGCCATTTCGGGGAGTGAACCAATGGATGGAAGGTCTCTCTCTCTGACTCTTTTTCTCTCTCTTTAAAAATGCCTTTCAAATAAAAATAAATAAATCTTTTTTGTTTAAGGTAGGGTCCAGAGCGATAGCATAGTGGTGAAAGTCCTCACCTTGCATGTGCCAGGATCCCATATGGGTGCCAGTTCTAAACCCGGCAACTCCACTTCCCATTCAGTTCCCTGCTTGTAGCCTGGGAAAGCAATCGAGGACGGCCCAAAGCCTTGGGACCCTGCACCCATGTGGGAGACCTGGAAGAGGTTCCTGGATCCTGGCTTCGGATTGGCACAGCATCGGCCGTTGCGCTCACTTGGGGAGTGAATCATCTTCCTCTCTGTCTCTCCTCCTCGCTGCATATCTGACTTTCCAATAAATAAATAAATCTTAAAAAAAAAGAGAGGAGATATATATAGAGAGATCTTACATTCCCTGGGCTTCTCCCCAGACGACAACAGGCAGGGCTGGACAAGCCAAAGCCAGGGCCTGGAACTCCATCCAGGTCTCCCACATGGGTGGCAGGGGCCCAGGTTCTCTGTTTATCCTCTGTTTCTCTTCCAGGCATATTAGCAGGGAGCTGGATCCGAAATGGAGCAGTGTTCACAGAGAATGCCAGTGTATCGGGCTGTAGCTTAACACACTACACCACAGCTCCTGCCCTCACAGGTACTTTTTTTTTTATTTCATGGCTTGATCAATGGTCATCAAAGCCATAGACTGTCAACTCCAGGAACACTCCATTTTTTGTTCCATAACTTTCTCCACAGGCCCCCTAGCCAGCACTCAATAACCATGCAGTCTCTGAAATCGGCAAATATGATGGACAAGTGGTAATACACTTGCCTTCCTGCTCCCATTGTTGGTTGCACTTTACAATAAACAAAAACCAACAGGAAAACAACTCACAGAGCATCAACTAGAACAAACTGTAACAAATTAGAAACAGTGGGTTCATTTAATGAATTACTGATTTACTTACTTAGTATCCAGGAGCTGGAGCTGGTGGTTGCTATCTCTGTGGGACATTTTCAGTTTGGTGCTTTGCTCTGATATTGACAAATCCACTCTGTTCAAAAGCTGAGAGATCTGGAAAAAGAGACCCTGCTGTTGAGCATTGTATCTGATCTCTCCTAATGTAATTTTAGAAAACATTAAGATGGCTATATGCTACCCGTGGCATTCAATTCCATCTGATTTCCTCAAGTGGAAATCTCATCTTGTCAACTCCATTCTCTTGCTCACACATCCCTCAAAGGCCAAGGCCAACAGCACTGTCAAAATAGCCATCCTACACTGATCATTTGACTTTATGGTCCTTGGAGAGGTAAGCCCAGTTCCTGCTCAGCCATTACTTCTACCTAAGCCTGAAAACACGGTCCTCCCAACCTGGACATGTCTCCCAGAATGTGGCTGCTAGACAGAGAAAATAAAACTTTACTGCTTACAAAATCCATCAAAGGGCATGGGGAGGGAAGCATTCAACACAATGGGTCACCTACACCCCATCTCACAGTGCCTCGGATGCAGCCCTGGCTCAGCTTCCAATCCCAGCTTCCTGATAACGTGGTCCCTGGCAGGCAGTGACGGCTCGGGTAGCTGGGTCCCTCTGACCCACACGGGAGACCCAGATGGAGATGCAGGCTGCCGGCTTCAGCCAAATCCAGTACTTTGCTAACTTTCGGCATTTGGGAAGTAGATTGGTAGAGGGAAGATCTCTTTCTGTTTTTTTTTTTTCTTTCTCTGTATATCTCACTTTCCAATTAAGCTTTTAAAAAATCCATTAAGGTTTCAGATTTAACTCTGCATCAAGTAGGTCACTAGCAAATAAAATGTATAGAATGTGGTCATTCCCACTTCTTTCTTCTAATTGCCTGTCTCCCTTATCTGCTTAGTAAAATTTAAAATAAACAAAACTAACCCTCTGTGGAAAGTCTGCTTTTTCTGAAACAGTGATGATAGGAAATGATTCTGACATGACATGTGTCAGCTCCAAAGGAAAGTATGTCGCTTAGAATGGACTTGTGTATGTATTTTAATTGGCTTGTGGTGAGCCCCAGTGAACACAGTGACCATATCCTGAACCAAAAGTTGGCGTGAGTGGTACATCACAGAAGGTTGGATCACTTACACACGCCAGAGGCAGTTTGGGACATATAATTCAGACTTTCTGGAACACACTAAATTGCTCTCGAAAAGAAACAGTCTTTACAAGTAGGACTGTGTGGGAAACTCTAGGTGTCTTGGTTATCAGACACGGCAAGGGCCACTGTAGTACAACAGAAGAAAGAAGGGTTTCTGGGTGGCAGAACCCCCAGCTGCCTTCTCCCTCAAGAAATGACCAACAGCACGCCATCTTAGCTAACAGCAAGTTACCTGTTCTTGAAATCTACCCGCAACGTGTCCTACCTGCCCTTCCGCGTCTTTGATTTTCGTTTCCAGGATATGCTTGGCAGCCTGCTGCTCTTTGTTCAAGTGCTGGAGCCCCTCATAGGTCGACTTGTGCTCAGCAGAGAGTCGGGCTATGCTGGCATCACATCTGTCCAGGCAAAGAACAGAGCCCTTTCTCATTAAAGTTTACCGACATGCACAGATGTTCCCTGACTTGCCAGGAAATGCAAAGCACCCCGCAAGGAAACTGTGCTATCCACTGTTCTTTTTAACAGGCAGGAATGGGTTCCGACAGCTGCCCTCATTGTGGTGTCTAAGCTAACACACAGGGATGATGCTTAATTAAGATTAGATGAACCATCAGAGAATCCAAGGTTCCACAATGTCTACAAGAATGGTGTGCACATGGTGAGCCCAGTTCCAGAAAAGCACATCTACTGGGCTGGTTTAGCCCTATGGCTCTGCATCACCCTGCACCCTTCAAAGTCAGAGGCTTCCCAGGATCTAAGAAGCAGCTTTTGCCATAGTTAAAAATATTTAGTCCTTTTTATCAAATCACTGGTAAGGCTGGATGCTTTGAGTGGGGATCCGAGGTGCAGGTGGATGGCACTGCAGCCAACCTGGGCTGTGGCAAAGGTGTCTCTGCCCGTGGGTCTTGCAGCTCAGTAGATCCAGTCGTGTTCAGAGTGTGCGCAGCAGATGAGCTGTGTATGATGGCCCATAGCAGAATGAAAGAATGGGCTCCTAGGAATTTGAAAGAGTCAGGCCCTATTCCAACACAATCATTTCCAACTTTGCAATGCAGCTGTTGACTGCTGGGTTCCAGTACATAATGACTGTGCAGGGGACATTGGGACAGGCCACTATGAACACACCATGTCATAAAGGTGGGTAGATGAGCATCACCGCTCTTCATGGCAAAAGGATGGGCAGGCTCCCTGGTTTGGGCAGGCTCCCTGGCACAGGTATGGCATAGGGGCCTGGGCTTCCGAGACCTCTACTCCTGCTACTGAGCCTGCCCTCTAACCCCGACCTATGACTTCTACAGGAATCCATGCCTTCTGGAAGAGTTCCTGATGACCAGGAGGACCAAGGGAGAACAACTCAGGTCTGGCTTCAGGTGGACACACCCCATATGCTGGTACCTGCTTGCAAAAGACCGCTGATATGTAGACATCCACCTAGCAGTACAGATACACTACGGAAGGGACCAAGAAAAAATGGCAGACTTCAAATTTTGCCTGGCATAAGAGATGGCCAGACATTCATTTTGTTTGTTTGCACTTTCTTCCTTCCCTTCTTTCTTTCTTTTCTTTTCCTTTCCTTTTCTTTTGTTGACAGACATTCAAAGGAAGTAGCTGATGTTCACAAACATGGGAGAACCATGGACGACTGGTGGCAAGGTTAAAGAGGTTGTATACATGGATTCTTCCAGAATGATTAGACACTTTTTTTTTCCTTCAGTGTTCTCTCTGTATCTGAACCTTGATGCGTACAGTCAGTACAATTTTACAAGGGAACACAGAACATTCTGGCCATCCCTGGATCACTGTCAATTTCATTTTTCATCCTTTACTGAGTTGTGCAAGTTGTCTACAAGGAAGATATGTGATTCTTTCATAATAAAAATAAAACAGTTATACAAGCAAAATTTTCAGTTAATAGCTATGTACAAAGAGTGCATTGTAATTTTATGGAATGAACTAGAAATGAGGCTGGGTTATGAGGAGGCCCTAGCTAGGGACCCGGGATAGAGTCACTGTCTACAAGGTAGCATGCAGAGGGAGGCAGCAGCTGCAGCCCCGGTCCACAACTCACTCATTCATAAATATTTATAGAGTGTCTAGGGTGTGTCAAATACTATTACACAAACGTAGGACATAGTAAAAACTTTCTCTCTCCAAACAAATGCCACACTGTCTAGAATTTAAAAAAAAAAATTCTCATGCCACTGTGATGAAAATGTTATTCAGCTAATGTGTATATTTTCCTTTTAGTGATGGTGATTACATCTGACACCTGCCCTTGTTTATGATTCCACTGATTGAGACAAAAGGGCTCAAAAGATTAGTTGGGAATTTGCTAAAGAACTTGCTGTAACCACACATGGGAAGGGGACGCCTGTGCCAGTTACACTTTTGACCAATCTCCAATCTATACTTTTCTGGAAGCATTAAGAATGTACTCCTTAAGGAGCAGATATGCACCAAGGTCTGAGAGAAGCTTATGAGCCCTTCCCTAATGACAAAGATACTGAAAATACCCTTACGCTCAAACTGCACAAACTATTCGCAATTCACTATCAAAAACAGCATGTTGATTAAAAAGATGAGAATGCATATCTCCAAAATGCAGGGAAAAATTAAGTGCTACTGATCTCTAGTTTATCAGTCATGAATAAAGGCTGGACACTGTGCCAGTGTTTGGTGGCCTCTCTAATAATTTGTAAGATTCAGCCAATCAGCTAGCTAATCACTACGTATTAAAATGGTGCACATTTCAAAAGTTCTTGGTCTTTCAGTTAACCATAGTTGACTGAACACATGTTCTTATATTGATTCCCTAATGAAAACATATAGATTATACCAGATGAATAAAACAGGTATAAAGTCACAAAGATTAAAAAAAATATATATAGGGGGCTGGCACAACGGTTCAGTGGCTAAATTGTCACCTTGCACACGCTGGGATCCCATACAGGCGCCAGTTCATGTCTGAGCTATTCCGCTTCTGATCCAGCTCCCTACTCGCAGGCTGGCGAAACAGTAGAAGACAGTCCAAAGCCTTGAGTCCCTGTACACCTTGGGAGACCCAAAAGAAGCTCCTGGCTCTAGATCAGCTCAGCTCTGGTCATTGCGGACACTTGGAGAATGAACCAGTGGGCAGATCTTCCTCTCTGTCTCTCCTTCTCTCTGTAAATCTGACTTTCCAATAAAAATAAATAAATCTTTAAAAAATATATCCAAGGTGTGTGTGTGTGTGTGTGTGTGTGTGTGTGTGTGGTAAAGGGTGCCCACGTCCCATAGTAGAGTGCCTGCATTTAAGACCCAGCTCTGTTTCCCATTCCAGCTTCATGGTGATGTGTCTCCAGGGCCGCAGCAAGTGATGGCTCATGCAATTGGCTCCCTGTCACCCACGGGGGAGACCTAAATGGAGCTCCCACTTCCTGGCTTTGGCCTGGTTGCACCTTGACTGTTGTAGGCAGTTGAAGGGTGAACACAGATCAGAAGATATCTTCCTGTCCATCTGTCTGCCTCTTCCCTCCCCTATTTCAAACTGAAATGACAATATTTTTGTAAACTTTAGAATATGCTGCAGCAATGGCTTACAAACTGTGAATATACTAAAAAACACCTGCATTGTACACTTTGATGACTTACATAGTTTGGGAATTCTACTTCATTAAAGTGGTTCATACGGACACAAGAAAATGGAGACGAAGGAGGGCAGGCGTCATCACTGGCCTTCTGGGCCATCCTTGAACGGCTCCTCGTACGATTTCCAATACACACGTACCAGGAAACCTGCGCACCTGCCTCAGCACACAGACACAGGAAGGAGCAGCTACTGAGTCTTGGGCAAATTCCGAAAAGGAACAAGGAAGATACCCTCCTTGAACTCTCCTTTAAGATGTAATGGGAAATTTGCCTGATCAAGTCTTGTTTAGTGTATCCTACACTCCATGTGATAAATGTGTTCCCCAGTGGAGAACCTGGCTTTGCCCTTCAAAGCTGCATCTAAGAGGAAGACTGAGGAACTGCTTCCTATTAATTATATCACAAATGACTCCACAAAGATATTAAACAAAATATAAAATCATATGACATCTTAGTCATTTAGGAGTATCACTTTGAAAGTTCATATTCTTCCAATACAATTGCATAATCAATGAAGGCAAGCAAGAACTTCGCTGGAGGATTTTTATTCCATGGGAATTCACAACAGTCAAAACCTCCTTAGCGTTCCAGGGGAAAGACAAATATAGCCAGGAAACAAAGCACAGAGGATTGTGGCAGAGAAGGAACAATGTAAGGTTCCTAGAAGTATTTTAAGACCATTTCTCCGTCTGAACCAGAATCAACACCATGAAGCTCGTGTCGCTGCCGTTGCCCCTGAGTTGGCTGGTTGACCATCGCTCTCTGCCAGGCGGTCCCCTCAGCCCCTCCCTTAAAGCCATCTGCAACTAAAGTGGCTGGAAAGATCCTTAAAGCTCTCCTGAGCGCCCCACTCTGCCTGTACCGCTGAACTCCCAGCCCCCAGCTGCTCTGAACCAGCTGGGGTTTGTCTGAAACCTAAATTCCACAAATAAGAACTATAGGAACTATAGCTTTTTTTTTTTTTTGGTCCTGTGACAGTGATTTTTTTTCTCTTCTTTTTTGTTGTGGTGGTGGGGGGGATATATTTAGAATTAGCCAGCTGGACTCAGTTGAAATGTTCCCAATTTTGCTGGTCACACTCACCGCATCACGAGCAGGAGCCAGGTGAGCACATGCCTTTTCCCCACCTCGAGGCCTATCAGTGTGTTGTTGACCTTGGCTAGGTCAATCTCGCAGATTTTCTTCCCAGCTGGTTTCCGGCCTGGACATCCACAAGGAACACAAGAGGGTTGCTGTTTCCTACTTCTTTGTGGCAGATCTGGTGAACTTGATGACATCACAGTGGTTAAGTTTGACTCCCTGGGGCATGCTTTTTCGAGGACATGCGGAGTGCTACCAGGACTGCAGTGTCTCTGGTGGCCAGAAGGTGGGTGATGGGTGCCATGTGGACCTCTTCTCAGGAGCTGTGGACCCTACTCAGCCCAGCCCTCTGGACCTTCCGGCCTATGCTCGGGCTTGGGCGGAGGCAGGTACTGTCTTCTATGTCTTTGGTTCCATCTTGGTAGACACCACAGAGCAGAGAGGCTTGGTGGATGGGGATGTTCAGAACAACTCCCAGAGGTGTGGCATTTGAACTGATCAAAAGATGAACAAGGAGGCCAGCATCGTGGCTCAGTGGGTTACCCTGCCACTCCCAGAAACATTGACAGCCCATATGTGCACCAATTCAAGACCAGCTGCTCTACTTATAGCTCCCTACCAATGCACCTGGGAAAGCAGATGTGTCCCAAGTGCTTGGGACTCTACTATCCACACAGGAGACCCAGGTAGA